AGTTACTGAGCATCACTGAAAAAGGAAGGAAGTTGGCGAATGACTATGCCAAAGATAGGATTAGGGTTATATTTTCCAGTGATCTGAACTTGAAAGTAGTTATTGATTGGTAACAGCAGAACAATGGTATGGAAGAACAAGGGATATGTCAGCCACTCTACCTTACGCTGAAACTAGGAGGATAGATATGGGAGAAAATGATGCTTCTTTGCCATAGGAATAGCCAAATTTCAATTACTCTAGGAGAAAGAAGAAGAAACTGAAGAAAATGCTAATAACATACATGAAATCGTTTATCATAAAACAAGGATTCCAAAGTAAATAAAAGTCTTAAGAGAAGGGTAACAAAATGGAGTATGCCTAGGGAAAGTTAGGGCTGAATTAAATAGGAATAACAGCATAGAAATAATTTACAGGAAAAAAAAGGAATTTTTCCTGGTAGTAGTTGGGAAAATTAGAAATCCAAAAAGCAAGATCCCTGGGAAGCAGTCTAGCGATGAATTTTGAGAATACAGGGATGAATTTATGATGGGTAAGCTTTTTTTAAAAAAACTAACAAGTCCCGGAAGGGATGCTTTGTCATCGCTCTATGGCATCCTCAAATATTCGCTCAAGATGATACCAGACTCAGAACTTATGGTAGGCTGAAGATGTGGAGACAGAAGCTGTTTCCACACATGGATGTCCCTAGGTATTCAACTCAGCCAGTGTTAGGATCGTAGATTTGCAGGACTTGTAAGGTGTTTGTTCTTCTAAACATATTAAATATGGCTTCTGTAATGTAGTTTGTATAATTAATTCATGCTACAAATCCTAAACCCACTTATCATAGAGAGCCCAAAAGTAAACTAGTTGGGTTTTGTCTAAAAGTAGCAGAATTGACAGTAATCATATTTTTGACAGTTTTTCCAGGCCTTTTAAATTTGTAATTGCCAAAGGCCTGAGGTGGAAGGAGGAAATGCATAGGAAATATTTCAGCTTGGGAAAGACAACTACCAATTCTGATAAATGATTTGATATATCATTGAATCTCAAGTACTCATGCAACAAATGTGCAGATAAATTGTGATGCTTTGTCAGGATAAGGAAAGCCCAGAAGCGCTATTTGGTGGGGGGGCCAGGGAGTGGGGGTGGAGAGAGACAAAAAGCACAGCTCTGCCTCCTGAATCAAGATTTGGTCATATAGCTGCTAAAATACAAGCTTGAAGCCTAGAGCATTTTTTGTCTAACTGAGGTTTGATATTAGCAAGCAGCCGAAAGAAAGTTTGATACAATTAGACAAGACTGGAGAAAGACAGGGATACAATTACAAACCTAGTAGCCAGCCAATAATTTATCCAAATTTGGCAAATCTCCCTTTTAATAGAAACAATGGGCATCACTCCTAGACCTCATGGTGCCTGTTCCAAATGTTTTAGACCATGACAGCTTTGCCCTGGGGATCTGTGGCTCTTCCTCCTTTCATTTCAGTGCAATGAATCAGTATAGGAGACAAAGTCTCAGGAAGGTATTTATTTGGGGGATATTTTTGAGGGGTATATCTCCATTCCAGATCCTTAAAAATATTCTACTCTTATTATTAATTGAATTTTTTAATTATTCACTTAAAGGAATATATAAAAGATAATTATTCCTTGATGGTACTTTAAGAAAGACAAGTAAAAGTAAAAATTTTCTTGAATTGTGGTATTCACAGACAAGGTAGAAAGAAAACAAAACAGAAAAGAGGAAGCTAAGTGACTCAAGTGGATAGAGCACTGGGCCTAGAGTCAGAAAGACCTGAGATCCAGTCTGGCCTCAGACACTTACTAGCTGTGTGATCTTGGATGAATCACTTAACTTCTGACTGCCTCAGTTTCCTTAAACTGTAAAAGGAGGATAATAATAGAACCTATCTCACAGGGTAGCACATTTTCTACAACTCTAAGTTGGCTTCCCAGGGTACTGAGTGCCAACTCTCTTTAGTACTATATTAGGTACAGAGTGGATTTAAAAAAAAAAGGTCGAGAAACTGTTCTTGTCATTTTGCGGAGCTCAGATTTTCATACATAGCCTCCCTGATCACCTTTTCCAGTACTGATTACACCTTCACTCATTCTCTTCGACTGATTGATAGTGGAGAGAAAATCCTCCTTTGCTTCAACATACTGGTAGAGTGCTAAACTTGGAGTTAGGAGGATGAATAATTTTTTTTCCTCAGACCTTTATAGTTCAATGACCCTGGGCACCTTGCTCAAATTTCTTCAGCCTGTTTTCTTATCTGTAAAATGAGAATAATAACAATATTTGTCTTGTAGGGTTGTTGTGGAGAATACATGAGATAACATATGTAATGCGTTTTGCCAACTATAAAGAGCTATATAAATACTAGCTATTATTATTATTGTTACCAGTAAAAAAACATGATTAAAGATATTTCCAAATAAACTGCCCTAGCATAGCATTTCCCAAACATTTGACGTGATGTGAATGCATGTAAGAAAATTTTGTTGCTAGCAATATTTTTCTCTGTAATATACATTATTTTACCTAAAAATTTTACAGTATGAAAATAAGCCACACTTCCTCAGTTTTGTTACATTTCTAGCAACTTATTAATAATGATTCTTATAATGGCAAGCATTTATGTAGTGCTTCATGGTTTGCAAAGTACTTACATGTATTACCTTGTTTGATCCTTACAATAACCCTATGTCCTAGTGTCAGGGATCAGACCATCTAGAGGGATGTCCCACTCTAATGAGAAGGCATCAAAATATCAATAAAATGAATGGGGTCCACGCCAGCATAATAGCAAATAGGTTTTATTTGGGAGAACTTAAAAGGCCTGTCACAAGTCTAGACAGATGTTATATAAGGACAGAAAAAAGAAGGCTTTATTGCTGAAAGATCGTCCATGGTCACATATGAGTTTTCCCATGGAATGGAGCTGTTTTGCTATTTACAGTAAATGTGATACCCCAAGTCATATTATCATACTCTTACTCCCACCATAGACCAAGGTACTATTGTTATCCACATTTTCCAGATGAGGAAACAGACTGACAGAAGTCAAGTGACTCGCTCTGGATTAGAGAGCTAGTAAGTATCTGAGATAGGATTTGAAGAGAGCTCAAACTTTATCCTGGAACTGTTTTCTATACCAAACGTTTATGAGTTCTAGCGATATATTCAAAAGGTATTCTTTGGCCAAATTACTTTAGTAAATGTAACCTAAAGTTCGCTCTTATTCATATGGTGGAGAGGAAAAAAGATGGAAAGAAATGAAAGAGGCAGTGCTGCAGAAAGTTGTACTACTATCAGAAATTGAAGTTTTGAGTCTTGTGTATTTATTACAGTATAAAGGGCAGCATCTTAATAGATAAAAATAAGTATAGCAAGAACTGGAACTCATTCTTTATATTACATTATGTTGAGCCAAAAATCTAATCTGAAACAGACCTGAGAATAACACATTTGTATAAAAAAACAGTTTTATGTGTAAGAGTACATCTTCTACAAATGGTTATTATTAAGATTCAGAATTCATCCAGTATAAAAAAGAATATTGCAGATAATACAAAACCAATAATCCAAACTGTAAATCTTTTAAGGTAAAACCAATAGACCAATGCAATAACAGATTAGCTGTGGAGACACTCTTAATGCTTGGGAACATTTTTGATTCACTGCCTTATAAAAAATGCATAGAAAGGTAATGTGGTCTAGCAGATAGAATATTGGATGGGAAGGTCAAGAGGCATGGGATCCATTCCCATTTTCATCATTGACTAAATTGATAATGTGGGAAGAATATTGAAGATAAGGAAAACTAGACCTATTTCTGCATTTTTTAAAAATAGCAAACTACATGCATATCAACCTTCTTTTTGTCAAACTGTTTTTGAATATTAATTTTTGAAATAAACCTTATTGCTATTTTTACATTGCTTAAATTTTCCCCTATATTCATCTCCCTCTCCTCCCAGAGAATCATCCTTTATAACAAAGAATTATATATTCAACTAATGAGTTTATTTAGATAAATGGATATCTGACTTAAAAACCTTGAGCTTCAATATTTATTTTATACACAGGGTTGCACACACATACATATAAGTAGATGTAAGGTAATTTGTAGGTGCTGGTAACTGATGTAATCAGTCAAGGCTTCATGTAAAAGATGATGGTTCAGCTGAGTCTTGAAGGAAATCAAGGGTTGTAAGAGCTAGAACTGAAAGGGAGATGAGCTCCATAAAAAAGGCGCAGAGATGGAAAATGGAGTGTTGCATGGAGAAGGTTTGCAATAAAAGCTCAACTTCAGAAAGAGGGTGAAATGTGAAGATTGGAAGTTAGGAATTCATTTACTATTCCTAATTCAGGAGAGAAAAAAAGGCATGGTATTCCCTTTCTATAGCAATTACCACATGTTAAAATAAAAATTTTACACATTCCGTGAAGCTCAATTTCATGAGCTAATGTCTTTTTTTTTTCCTTTTCTACCTGGTTGTTATTAATACAGTTATATTAATGGGGCTAAGACAAAAGGGAAGAAACAGTAACAGGGAGTATATACAGCCTGGAGAGCTTAAGTGAATAATAAAATTGTGAGGATATATTACCTTCAATATTTTATTATTTTATTTACTATATTTTATTATTAATGCCTTAAGGTGATGAAAACCAGAGGTTAATAAGTATCATGGCTGTAGATCTAAATTGAGACTTAAGGACCATCTTGTCCAAACCCCTCATTTAACAGATGAGGAAATCAATACCTAAGGAAGTTAAGTGACTTGTCTGAGGTCATACAGGAAATAATAATCAAAGGAAGGATTGGAATACAGTTCCTCTGATGCTATGACCAGTGGCCTTAGCACTAGTATATGCATTGTGTATTCTGTGTCATAGCACTGAAATGATCATTGATATTTTTATGAAAAATCATAGTTACATTGTGGGTATTTTACCTTAAATGATATTTCTTACCTGGTAACCTAGAAAAATGTCTTTGGTTACAGGTTCCCTCAAGAACTGAACATGGGAAAAATTAGTGCTGAGATCATGTGGACCCTCTTTGCACTGGATATTAAGTATGCACTGGAAGGTAATGAAAGTCAAATCTATTTATTAGAATCACCTTTGGCATAAAATAGCAAGAGTTGAAACATGCAGAAACATATATTGTTGGTGTTCCAGTTGTATTCCAGCTTCGAATGAAGTTAAGAAGGAATTTGTATTAAAGGTTGTATGTTAAAGGAGAATGTGACCTTGGAGGATTTAGGATCATTGAGGAAGCCTTCATGTTTTTAATCAGATCATTCCTGTTGCAGGATTTAGATGAGTGTCTCTTCAAGAGAATTGTGTTCTAGCCCTGCAAACCTGAGTCATTTTTTAAAATATATATATTTTCAGCTCCTACTATATTATTTGGTTGGTACCTGGCAGGACTTGGAAATAGGATGATTTGGGCAGAGACCTGACAAGGACAGGGTGATGGGCTTTTGTCTAGGCTGGGCAATTTGGAGGGTTCTAAATGCAAATATGGAGTATACGTCTTCCACTGCCTACCTCACTCCTACACTGACAACAGCAATAGCCTAATCTCAGGGTCATTTTCTCCAAGATTCAGCAGTTTAGAAACCGAATGCTATCTGTTTCTGTTTCTTGTCCTTAGCTGCCATACCTCAGTTGAGCCCCACCTCTATGCCACCACCACCCCCGGCATTTACTCAAGAGGCAGAAATTGCTAGCTATGACTCTGACCATGGAGCCATGTTTCTATCACATCAGATCTGGAGAAGATTAGATATCTATCCACGAAAAGCTATAAAGCTCTAGCTGGGAAATTGCCTCAGTAGGACACAATGATTCAGCATGCAGCAAATCTAGTATATTTACGTGAAATAGATGTCATTTATAATTTTGACATTGCCTAGATCCTCCTATTCACTCTGCCCCGCCACCCCTACTGCATTCCAGACCATCTCTTACAAGATTTTTTTTTAATGGAAGAAGGGGGGAGCAGAAAAATCCATGTATGCATTGAAAAAAATTGATATATATGCAACATTTCACACAGAGCCTCCCAAGCCCCACCAAGCCAGTTCTTTGATTAAGATACAAATGGATGATACATAAAATTTCATTTAGTCCTCTTTCTTCTCCCATCTCCAATTTAGGAGTCCTCAAAGTTTTTATCCTTGACCCTCTTCTCTCTTCTTCTCCTCTCTGCTCCTGTATTCCTCTCTTTTCTCCTCTTCATCTTTCTATTCACTCTCCCTTAGTAATCTCATCCAAATGAATGCCTTCAGTTATTACCTCTATTTAGATGACTCCCCAATATATGTGCAAAGTCCTAATTTCTCTCTGAGCTGCAGTCTCCCATTTCTGCCTGTTAGACCACCTCAAACTCAAGATATCCCAATGTGTCTTTCCTCCAAACTTCTCTATTTTTTATTGGTAAGATCATTTTTCTACTAATCATTAAAGTTTGACAACTTGAAGGCTGCCAACTAGTTGTGAAGTCTTATGAATTAAAGAAAGCATCTTGTAAATCTAATATGTATATATATATATATATATATATATATATATATATACACACACACATATACATATAATATATATATGTATCTCTTAGTTATTATTTTCTAATTTAGTATACCTCTGTAATGTCTATCTCAATTGACATACTGCTTTTTATTAGCACCCTAATTTAGGTCCTCAATACTTGTTACTTAGACTGTTGTAATAATTTCTTATTTGGTCCTCCTGTGTTCAGTTTCCTCTCCTTTTTAATGCATCACTTTTTCCTAATGCACAGGCATATTCATATCACTTGCCCACTCAAAATCTTTAGTGAAATTCTTTGCCTTGCCTTTAAAAAATAAAAATAAAAATGTATTAACTTGATAATTAAGATACTTCATAACATCTCCAATTTTTGTGACTTATTCCAACCCCCCATCAGTTCTATGCTCTAATCAAAATGTATTACTATTCATATCCTAATGATATGTTGCCTTCTTCCATCTCTGTAGACTTACATTTACACATACATACATAAACTTGCATGTAACCTGAGCCTGAAAATGATCTACTTGTTGAAATACGTATCTTCCTTCAAAACCCAGTTCATGTCACTTTAAATAATTTCTGTGTCATCTTTAAGCCCTTGATGCACTTATGCTGCTATTCCTCATGAAGCCTTCCCTGTTCTTTTCAGGTAGAAATGGACACCATCATTCTTGAATCTCTCTTCTTACTCTTTGACTTCCTCTATGAAATTAATTATATTCTAACCTATATCCAGTGAGGGACTAATGGCTCCTCAGTTTTTTCATATAGCATGTTTTACACCCACTTTGCTTCCCATCCCCAACAACCTCAACTTAAAACAATATCATTAATACTTTCAAGAGTAGGCAGACAAGGATTTTTGGCATTAAATAATGCATGACTGGGCCCTTCTTTTAAAGCAATCACATGACAACAAGTCTCTGCTTTTGTAAATGGAGAATAGTTCATTCAAACTAGGTATGCTTTTCAAAGAAACTTTTGCTACTTTATGCTTGACTGTAGTAATAGTGGTGGTGGCAGTAGTGGTAGTGGTCAGAAGCAATGTTATATCAAGATTTAATATGATGTTATTCACTTGCAAGTAAATCCCTAATTCCAAGGTCTTAAAAAAGATTAGTCAAGTTGAGGACCTCTTACTCTTGCTTCCTCACATATATCCTTATTCCTAAACAACTCAGTCCTAGCCTGCCTATCTTCCATCACATCTACGGTGACCTTTGGAATCCAGGTTCTATTGTAAACAAACTCCTTTTCATCCCATCTTTTACTGGTACATTAGTTCCCTTCACGTTAGAAGACTCCTGGCTAGTCCCTGAAGACATTGAGTTCCTGACCTTTATCTCCAATGCTAGTTAATCATACTCCCATGTTCTTGCATATAGAGGTTTAGTAGGTAGGGTTGAAATCTTCATTGCTCTATACTACCTCTTCCAGACCTTTAATACCCTACCTTCCTTCAACAGTCCCTCTTGCTCTGAAATTTAAATTATCAAATGCCATCTTCTATAGATCTTTACCATCTACTTCAAGGACACTCTTACATCTTCTTCAAAAATGTCAACAGCTAGCTTATAGTTTTCCTCTTCAAAATATGATATCATTCTTATTGATCTCAACACTTTGGCTTCAAAATTTTGTGGTCTTCTCAATTTCGTGCTCTCCATCTCTATTCTAGAACCAGGAAAACACAACTTAGACCTCATTGTCAATTAAAACTAGACCACTTCAAAGTTCTTGGGTTTTCAAATTTTTCTCTGACCATGACATCTTCTCCTTCTACATTTCCCACCCTTTGATCTCTAAATTCATTCTGAAACTTTGTTGAGATCTTTGGCTTCTCAATCACTACCTTCTTTTCCAATTGCTCATTCCTCTTATGATTTCACTTCCTTCCCTAGTACACTCAACACTGTGGACCCCTCTTGCAACATTATTCCTTCCTTTACCTTTGAACCATTTGTACCCTTGCCTGTCTGAATTCAGGTTTTCTTGATTCCAAGTCCAATGTCCTATCCATCATACCACATGGATACCCTTGAAACCTTTAGTGTTTCAGTTCCAGTAATAAATTTAGAGCTAGAAGAGATCTTTGAAGTCAACTGTAGAACCTCTCATTTTATAGTTCCCTGGGGAATATGTCTCCTGTGCATGGATAGTTGAATTCTGATGTGTACGATGCCATGACTATGAATGGAGGCAACAATTCCCAATCTGTTTTTTTTCATAGTCCCTGATTCCCACTTCTTATTCTCTACTTTGATTTTTCCTGTGATTTAATTGTTAAGGATGCAAGTTGCAATCTGTTACCTATTTTTGGGTCTTCACTTTAAGAAATTTTGATTTTTAATTTGGTCATACCCTTGCTTATGGAATGGACCCTTGACTGTTAGGAATATGGCAAAGCAAATAAAACTACAACAGATGTATTTGCCTAGGGTTTTTCCTTAGGAATAAGTCTCTGTCCATGGGATTAGAAGATAAATAAATTACCTAAGCAAGAATACATGAGGGTAAGAAGAGAAAGGAAAGGGAAGGGGAGGGAAGAAAAAAACTGCTCAAGGTATATTTATCTCTTTTTTCCATTTCTTTATTCTTACCATTGTAGTTGTCTATAGTATGAATTGCTAAGAGGTAGCCTTTTCATTCTGCCATCTCTCTAGTACAGGTTGGTTTTTGTAAACATTTCTCTTATCTCCACAAACACAAATTAAATAGTTGTATAAATAAAAAGTAGCAACAACCTGAAGTGAGTAGAAAGCAGGCCTCCTAGCTACAAAGACCTGGGTTCAAGTCCCACATCTAACACTTACTGGATTTTTGATCTTGGCCAAGTAACCTGACATTTCCATGCCCTAAGAAACTTTCTAAGAGAATTCTTTCCATGCCCTAAGAGAATTTTCTAAGTTGCAGACAAGATACTAATACAAACCACCATTGGTAGAAGGAGCTTTCTCTCCTGGGAGTTCCATGTAACAATGAAATCCAAGTCCAAATAAAAATCATTATAGAGTTGTTGGAAATCTTTAAGGGCCAGAACTTTGTCTGGGGAAGGGAAAGAGGATATCTTGTGATGACTTTGCTCAACCAGGCCTGGATCTAAGGATTAAAGACATGCCTTGCTTAATTTTCTGGATCCTAGATACTGAAAAAAAATTGCAGTTCAAGTAGTCAATTCATGCAAAATGACTCCTTACTCTTTAAGGGGTATAATAATAATCTTATGGTCAACCAGGTAGGGATTGTCCTTTCCAATGAAGGGAAAGCAATTGGATATTTAGAAAAGTCCTACTTTCATATCTGTGAATCTGCTTCTATGACCTTTTGCACTGTTACCCTAAATCCACCTGGGACATATTGAATATCTAGATGTGACACAAGCATCCATTAGAAAGACCTTAGTATAGCTTATGTAAGAACTCCAATAGGCTACATTTCATCAGTTCTCCATCCTCTCCTCCCATTGGTGGGTGGTTAATTCAATACCATGCCCAAAACTTCAATAATCATTTCTAGCACTAATTGGGT